CTTAAAATAACCTTGAAACTAATTTGAATTATAAAAAGTTAATTATTCTAAATCGTTCGAAAAATTAAGAAGCTCGAAAATTAATTATTATCGGGGAGGGTCACAATTGTGTGTCAACACTGCTATGGGCATCAAATTTGATGAAGAAATTCAAGGTTTGCTTCTACTTGGTTCCCTACTAGACTCTTGGGAAACATTTAGAAGTTCACTGTTAAATTCTGCTCCGAATGGTATGATCTCAATGGATTCCACCAAGAGTAGTGTCTTGAACGAAGAGATGAGAAGAAAATCTCAAGATTCTTCTTTGTCGGATGTCCTGACAACTGGCTCCAGGGGGAGAATCAAAACTCGTAGTTCTCAAAATAGAGAACAAAATAGGAGCAAATCCAGAGGCAGATTTAAGGATATTGAGTGCTATCATTGTGGCATGAAAGGGCACACAAAGAAGTTCTGTAGGAAGTTGAAAAGGAAGAACAAAAACAAAGAGGAAACTAAAGAAGATGACAATGAAAATTGCCTAGCCACCGTCACCACCGAAGATCTTGTTACCGTCCTTGATGCGGATATGATAAATACTGCTTATGATGAGTTAAGTTGGGTTGTGGACACTTGTGCCGCATCTCACGTGACATCAAGGAAGAATTTTTTCTCTTCATATACTCTTGGTGATTTTGGAACTTTGAGTATGGGTAATGAGACTATTTCTAAGGTGGTTGGTATTGGTACAATTTGTTTGGAAACTAGTGTTAGAACTAAACTAGTTTTGAACAATGTGAAACATGATCATGATGTTCGTCTGCACCTGATATATGTTGGTGTTTTGGATGATGAAGGATATGTTAGTACCAACGGTGATGGAAAATGGAAACTCATTAAGGGTTCCTTGGTTGTGGCTCGTGGTAACAAACATTGTGGTCTATAATGTACTACGGCTTCTAGTTGTGTTGATATGATGCATGCGGTTAAGAGCGATAGCTCTTCAACGTTATGGCACAAGAGGCTTAGCCACATCAGCGAGAAAGGACTTAATGTTCTAGCCAAGAAGAAATTATTGTCAAATTTCAAAAGTGCTAAATTAGAAAAGTGTGAGCACTGCTTGGCTGGTAAACAAAATAGAGTTTCCTTTAAGTCCTACCCCCCCCCCCCCTTCAAGAGAGACAGAGTTGCTTGAATTGGTGCACTCTGATTAATGCGGTCCAATGAAGACAAGGACATTGGGTGGTGCACTCTACTTTGTCACTTTTATTGACGACTGCTCGAAAAAATTTTGGGTCTATGTCTTGAAGACTAAAGACCAAGTGTTAGGTGTCTTTAAGCAATTTCAGGCTTCAGTTGAAAGAGAAACTGAAATGTATTTGTACTGATAATGGTGGTGAATATTGTGGACCATTTGACGAATACTGCAAGCATCAAGGTATTAGACACCAAAAGACTCCTACTAAGACTCCTCAGCTAAATGGTTTGGCTAAGAGGATGAACAGGACCTTGATGGAAAAAGTTAGATATTTGCTTTCTGAAGCAAAGTTGCAAAGTTGCCGAACTCATTTTGGGGTGAGGCTTTATTGACCGTTGCACATGTTATTAATCTACTTCCTGATGTTTCTTTGCAAAGTGATGTACCAAATAGTGTTTGGTATGGAAAGGATGTTTGCTATGACCATTTGAGAGTATTTAGTTGCAAAGCTTTTGTACATGTGCTGAAAGATAAGAGGTCAAAGTTAGATGCCAAGACAAGGCAGTGCATCTTCATTGGATATGGCCTTGATGAATTTGGTTACAGGCTATATGATCCAGTTGAGAAGAAACTCGTGAGAAGCCGTGATATTATTTTCATTGAGAATCAAACAATTCAAGATATTGACAAAGCGGAGAAGATAGAATCTTCAAGTTTTGATGGCATAGTTCATTTAGATGAAGTTCCTCACACAAGTATGCATGATGTTGTTGGTCTTGATGATCATAGTGACGCCCATAATCCTGTATCGAATCAACATGTTGATGTTGATAATAACAATGATATTGTTATTGATGATCCTCTTGCTCATGAAGTTGTGGACGAATCAAATATTCCACTTAAGAGGTCCACAAGACAGCGGGTTCCTTCCTCTCGTTATTCACCCAATGAGTATGTGTTACTCACTGACGGGGGAGAACCTGAATGTTATGAGGAGGCCATGAAAGATGAGCACAAGGATTAATGGATTGAAGCCATGCAAGATGAGATGAAGTCTCTGCATGAGAACCACACTTATGAGTTGGTGAAATTGCCCAAAGACATGAGAGCTTTGAAGAACAAGTGGGTGTTCAAAGTTAAAGTTGAAGAACAAAACTTGAAGCCCAGGTACAAAGCTAGATTGGTTGTTAAGGGATTTGGTCAAAGGAAGGGTATTGACTTTGACGAAATATTTTCTCCTGTTGTGAAAATGTCCTCGATTCGTACAGTTCTGGGTTTGGCAGCTAGTCTTAATTTAGAGATTGAGCAGATGGATGTGAAGACGACTTTCCTTCATGGTGACCTAGAAGAAGAAATTTATATGGAACAACCTGAGGGCTTCAAAGTAGAAGTTAAAGAAAGTTTTGTGTGCAAACTCAAAAAAAGTCTTTATGGCCTAAAGCAAGCTTCTAGACAGTGGTACAAGAAGTTTGAATTTGTTATGGGGGAGCAAGGCAATAAGAAGACCTCATCAGATCATTGTGTATTTGTACAAAAAAATTCTGATAATGATTTTATCATCCTCTTGTTATATGTGGATGATATGTTGATTGTGGGCAAGAATACTTCCAAGATTGACGACTTGAAGAAAGAGTTGCGTAAGTCTTTTGCTATGAAAAACTTGGGTCATGCCAAATAAATTTTGGGCATGAGTATTACTCGTCTCAGAGATGAAAGGAAGATTTTATTTGTCACAGAAGAAGTACATTGAACGTGTACTAGAGCGCTTCAATATGAAGAATGCTAAGCATGTTAGCACACCTCTTGCTGGTCATATGAAGTTAAGTAAGAAGATGTGTCCTACAGATAGGGAGGAAAAAGAGAGCATGGTCAAAATTCCATATTCCTCCGCCGTTGGAAGTCTAATGTATGCAATGGTATGCACTAGACCTGATATTGCTCATGCAGTTGGTGTTGTCAGCAGATTTCTCGACAATCCAGGAAAAGAGCATTGGGAAGTTGTGAAGTGGATACTCAGGTATCTTAGAGAAACTCAGATGAATGCTTGTGTTTTGGAGCATCAGATCCAATCTTGAAGGGCTATAAGATGTTGATATGACAGGTGACCTTGATAACAGAAAATCCACTACTGGATATTTGCTTACTTTTTCAAGGAGAGCTATATCATGGCAGTCAGAGTTCCAGAAGTGTGTTGCACTATCTACAACTGAAGCTGAGTATATTGCGGCTACTGAAGCCAACAAAGAGATGATATGGCTAAAGCATTTCTTCAAGAGCTTGGTTTGCATCAGATGGAGTATATTGTCTATTGTGACAGCCAGAGTGACAGCCAGAGTGCAATAGACTTGAGCAAGAACTCCATGTACCATGCAAGGACAAAACACATCGACGTCCGATATCATTGGATTCGTGAGGAAGTGGAGAATGAATCATTTCACGTCAAAAAGATCCACACAAGTGAAAAACATGCAGATATGCTGACCAAAACGATATTGAAAGGCAAGTTCGAGTTATGCAAAGAACTTGTGGGTATGATCTCTCTTTAAAGAAGATGGAGATACCTCCTTCTAGTGCATGGGACTGGAGGGGGAGATTTGTGAGATCCATCCCATGTTTTTATATTAGTCAATTTTTGCTACTCAATTGCTACAAGCAATTGTTAAAAAGGAATAGTGACAACAAATGTGAGTTGAAAATAAAAGATTTGGTGGTTGGCAAATTGATAAGATTTGCAACCTACCTTTGAAATTTGTTACATTTGTCTATGTCATTAGTGGCATAGGCATGGTTTTCTCCTTCTAGATATAGAGCACTCTTGCTCATTTGTAGAACACACCAAGTTAGAAAACATTAAACTCATTATTTTATATTAGTACTACCAAGTAAAGTTACCAATTCTTTTAACTATATTCTTACCAAGTTAACAAGTCTTAATATACGGTAACCTTAGTTAATTTGCCGTAACATGTTAAGTATTTCATCTCGCTCACTTTTATTTGTTCAATATATTAAAAATTATAGGATATACGGTAACCTTAGTTAATTTGCCTGTCTTTTTTTTTCATGTGTATATATTAAATCTTGAATATCCTTAACGAATTTTCTGACTTTGCTACTGATTATATTTATTGCACTTTATAGGGTGTGATAAATTAATATTGAACAAATAAAAATGAACAGAGGATGACTTACTATTTTCCCTTTTATATATAGTTTAAGACTTCAATTCTAAGTTTTCCTTATAACTTCTCATCATCTTCCTCTTTCTTCCTTTAAGCCTTTGGAATCTTTGTCACTTTTGGTACAGTATAAAACACTGATATTGACACCAACATGTAATATTAACAACTTTAATTTCCTTTAAGTTTTGGCAAACAAAAAAATGAAAAAAAAAAAACTATATATTATAAGTTTTCCTTGTAACTTCTCTGTTTTATTCATCTATTTTAGTTGTTGACTAGTAGTCCACCTTGTTGAAGGTCTTTATAATCTTTATTCCACACTTTTTCTCCTTTTTATCATATGATTGTACGAAATAAATTATTCTCCTACATTAAAGTTACTTATCATTTTCCACATATATTTTTACTAAACTTTCATCATTTTTGTTGAATGCAGCAGTAGAGAATATTTTGTTGCTTCAATATAATATAAAGTTATAAGTAACTAAAAGATCATAATCCTAGAAGAAGAAGAAATACAAAGGTAAAGTTTTTATTTTTTATCTATTTGTTCTTGCATGTTGATGATCGTGATGATGATGTGCATGTTGTTATTTTTTTTAATTTTATTTTTTTTGTATAATTTTGATTACTATTAGGGGAAAATGGCAACTACTACAAAGAAGAAACCAGAGAAAACAATTCCTGGCTGAGTGGATTTGGTGTTTTCTTGGTCTTTAAAGGATGTGTTGAACAAAGATCTTTACAATTCATTTGTCGTCTATTCTATTTTAAAAATATATGTAAGTTTTTACTTGTTCAGTTTAAAAAATCAAGAGATAATTTCTCACTTAGGTCCTAATTTATCCTTATTATTTATTATGTAGTTATTTTTCAATACATTTTCGAAACATTAAATTTATTATATTAAAAATGTTAATATAGTGAAATTGCCATTCAATTTTTTAAAAAAAGGTATGCCAAATCAATAGGTAAAAAATGAAATACTAAATGCTTTTTAATGTGTCATTGTATCAAGTATTCTATTCGTATTCCGTTCAAGCCATGGAAAAATGAGAAAAGAAAATGAAACAAAGGAAGTTAAAGACGAACCTTAATTATTATTTTTAAATCTCTTTAATTTCCAATGAAGAAAAGGAAACGACTTTTTTAAAAAAAAAAAAATATCACTTCACGTTATTGTTTCATGTACAACATTTCCTATACATAATGAATTAATTTACTTTGGAAATTAAATTTACTCAGCTAGTAGTCATATACTCCTTAACTCCTCAACCCAACACAAAGCAAAAAAAAAAAAAACTCATAATCTCAGAAGAAGAAAAAGGTAATTAATTAATTACAGTAATTTTTTCCCTTCTATTTGTTCTTGCATATGTTAAAAAATAATGTTTTGTTTTGATGACTACTAGGGAAGATGTATGTATATTGACTAGAAAAAAAAGTAGACAGTAAATCAGTCTCGCTATTTGTGTGAAGATTCCTAAGAAAATTGTTCTTTTGTTTTTTTGATGACTATCAGGGAAAATGGTAATATATGTACAATTCATGTATAATATGTGTATGATATCTATGTATATCTGCTAGAAAAAGTAAACAGTAAATCTATCTGACGATTTGTGTGAAGATCCGTAAGAAAATTGTTCTTTTGTTTGTTTTAATGACTATAAGGGAAGATGTATAATATATGTATAGTTCATTTATTCCCTTTATAGTATGTGTATGATAGTGTATAATCTATGTATATCGGATAGAAAAAGTTAATAGTTAATTTGTCCGACTATTTGTATGAAGATCCTAATTTTTATTTTTTGATGTTTTGTTTGTTTTGATGACTACTAGGGAAAATGGCATTGACAACTACTACAAGAAAGAAAACAGAGAAAAAAATCCCCCCAGGGTTGATAGATTTTGTGTTTTCTTGGTCTTTAGGGGATGTGTTGAACAAAGATCTTTACAAAGACAAGGTTTGAATATTTCTTCTTCTTGGAAGTATTTATTTATGAATAGTGCTTTAAGTTACGTTTAATGATGGTTGAGAGCCAAGTATGCATAAAGTCTTGTACAATGGAAGGCATCAAGTCTTGTTCTATCTTTCTCTATTCTCATTTAACATATATTGATTTGAAACAAATATTCATTTTGAAACATTCGTCTTCTCTAGTTCGTTTGTGATTTGTCATCTTTTGTTCCCAAAATGTGTAAGGTTATGGAGATTCCTGAGACGTTCTTATCGATTGATCATTACATGAAGTCATTCATTACTCCACTTATTGAAGAAACACATGCTGATTTGCTCTCAAACATCACCACAGTTTCACGAGCCCCTGCACTCGAGGTTCTTGATGTCAGAGAATCAAAATATTTTAAACCTCCAAAAAGTTTATATTATGATATTTTGGTAAATAGAGCTATGGAGGGGAAGAAATTTGAACGAAAGTATAAACCAATGAACGGAGATTTGATTGCAGTATCAGATGTGTTACCAAGAAGAATTGATGATTTGAACAGACCAAAGATATCTTATCTGATTGGCATAATCAATAACATAAAAGATGAAGATTCATATCGGATACACATTCAGTCTTCGAAGCCTATTTCATTTCAGAAACAAGACAACGACAAGGGTGAAAAAGGGGACAAACTTTTTGTTGTCTATCTTTCCAATTTAACAACAAATCTTCGAATATGGGCTGCTTTGAATCCGAACATGGAAAATGCAAACTTGAATATCATTAACACTGTGCTGAAAAGTAATCCAATTACTGTAAGTAAACATCTTTTTTCCCCTCTTCTTCTTAACTACATATTTACAATTTGGCTTGTAAGTTATATTGAGTATGTGATTGTGGTAGTTTTCATGAGGCTCTACTTTCTATACTTCGTTTCATTTTCAAGTAGTGTTAGTTTGTTGTTGATATATTTATATACGTATATTGTTTACACGTATATGTAAAGAGGTGTTTGTGTCATTGCTTAGTCTTGTTCCTTTCTTTTATAGCCATTTTGAAGGTATATTATAAGATCTTTTGAGAGGTTTGTTGTTTTAATCATCTGCAGGATGAAATAGACTGCTCTCTTTGCTCCTCCTCAGAATCTAAAACTAATGTTTTATCGAATTCAAGTGCCATTATTCAGTCCTTTGGTCTAGATGGTGCTCAACAAGAGGCTGTTCTAAGCTGTATTGCAACAAAAGAATGTGTTCACCGGAATACTGTTAAGCTAATTTGGGGTCCTCCAGGAACGGGGAAGACTAAAACAGTTGCCTCCTTACTATATGTCTTGTTAAAGATGAAATGTAGAACTTTGACTTGTGCTCCTACGAACATTGCTGTGTTGGGAGTTACGAAGAGGCTGATGCAACATGTAAGAGATGGTCTGGAATTTGACACATATGGTTTAGGGGACATCATTTTATTTGGTAATGCAAAAAGAATGAACATTAGTGATCATGAAGATCTGTTTGATGTATTTCTTAATACTCGTGTTCGTATTCTTGCTTGCTGTTTGTCTCCTATTCATGGGTGGAGAAGTGCTATCGAGTCCATGATATATTTTCTTAAGTCTCCTATGAAGCAATACCGACAATACTTGAGAGAAGAAGAAAGGAATAGTACCAAGCAGTTGCGGAAAAAAGTTGTCATAAAAAACTTACAAAAGAACAAGAAGAAGACATCAAAGGATAAAAGAAGTTTCAAAAGGAAGAATAACTTCACATCCAATGGTGAAGTGAACATGGCCAATTTTGTCGAGACAAGTGAAGAAGAAACCAGTGTTTGGACATTTGAGGAGTTTGTTATCAAGAGATTCAAATGGATCCAGAATCACTTGACGTATTGTCTGACGAGCTTGTACACACATCTGCCTACTTCTTTCCTTCCACTAGAAGTAGCTAAGGAAATGATAAGGCTTCTTAAGATGCTTCAAACTCTTGAAACATTGTTTGGTTCTGTGGTTACATGCAAAGAGTTCAAAGAAGTTTTGCTTGGTATTTTGGCAAGTAATAAGGCGAGGCGTTTTGCTTATCTGTATGCAATTAAACAAGGATGCCTTAAAGTATTGGAGTTTCTCAATGAGAGTATCTCTCTTCCCAAACTCATTTACGACTATCAAATTCGAAGATTTTGTCTAAAAGATGCTTGCTTGATTTTCTGCACTGCTTTTAGCTCATCAAAATTGCATAGAAGGGGAATGGAACCACTAAAGATGGTGGTAATTGATGAAGCTGCTCAACTGAAAGAATGTGAATCCACTATTCCATTACAACTCCCTGGTCTCCGCCATGCTATACTCATCGGAGATGAGAAACAATTGCCTGCTATGGTTCAGAGCAAGGTTTTCAAATAATCTTAGTACTGAATGTTCTTTCATTACATTGCTACTCTTTCATAATTTACAATTAGTGTCTGTTGTTGACAGATTTGCGAGAAGGCTGAATTCGGGAGGAGCTTATTCGAGAGGCTGGTAATATTAGGACACAAGAAGCACCTTCTTAATGTTCAATATAGGATGCATCCAAAAATAAGTTTGTTCCCGAACAACGAGTTCTATGAGAAGAAAATTATGGATGGTCCTAATGTGACAGCAGCTATATATGAGAAGAGATTTCTTAAAGGAGATATTTTTGGCTCGTATTCATTCATTAATGTGAGTAGCGGAAAAGAGGTGCTTGATGAGGAGCACAGCACGAGAAATATGGCAGAAGTTCTCATTGTAGCTGAGATAGTTGCAAACCTTCATAGAGGTAATTAATACTCTTTTATCTTTCATGAATTTAATATGCTCAACAGGTTTGTGTTGCATGCCTCTTATTATAATTTGAAATACAGAATCTGTCTCTTCAAATCACAAAGTCCGTGTTGGTTGTATATCTCCTTACAAAGCTCAAGTTTTTGCTATTGAACAAATTCTTGCCAAGAGATATAGCACGGATGTTAAGAGTGATTTCTCAGTGAACGCACGTTCTGTTGATGGTTTTCAAGGTGGTGAAGAGGATGTGATAATTATATCCACTGTTCGTTGTAATGGGAGTGGATCGGTTGGTTTTCTTTCTAATATTCAGAGAGCAAATGTAGCACTGACTCGAGCAAGGTACTGATTTTGAGGACAACATTACTACATTTCAGAATCATTCAAATTGTGATGGACACATTGTTATGCAGATACTGTCTTTGGATATTGGGAAATGCTGCAACTTTGGTTAACAGTAGTTCTATTTGGAAGAATATAGTCATTGACGCCAAGGCTCGTGATTGTTACTTTGATGCTATTGATGACATAAGATTGGCTCAAACAGTTTTGAATGCTACCGTTGAGGTTGGACAGATAGATACATTACTCAGAACAGACTCCCCTCTATTCAAAACAGCCAAGTGGAAGGTATGTTACTTCAATTTGTTTGTCTCGACTCTTTAACTCTAACTTTTCACATGACATGTTTTAAAACGTAACAGGTTTTGTTCTGTGAGAATTTCTCAAAATCCATTGCCAGACTTAAGGATGTCGAGATCAGTAAAGAAGTGGTTTCCCTATTGATGAAGCTATCAAGGGGTTGGCGTAAGTCAGAAAAGAAGAGAATGATCAACAAGGGTGGGAGTTCCTCTGCACTGTTGGAGGTCTACAATGTGAAGTACCTAAAATTGATTTGGACCATAGCTATTCTGCAGCAGGATTCGATACACGTTCAAGTACTAAAGATCTGGGACATTTTACCAGCATATCAGATACCGAACTTGTCAAAGGACCTTGACATCCTTTTTGGTCAATATACAGTGGATATGATGAATCGTTGCATATCCAAACGAGTGGAACGGTACATACATGTCTTTGTTTTTTCCTCTGTTCTAAATTGCTGTCTTATCATATGTTCTTATAAGTCATATTCATTTGCTGTCTTCACAAATCATCCTTGTTCTGTAGAAACTTAGTACTTCCAGTGACTTGGCCAAACAATGGAAACAACGTCTCAGGAACCGGATCAGCTCACAGTGAACAAGACCAGAACTTGGCACATCAACTGTCAGCTATGAGTTTGAATGATAAACCAGGATCTTCAAGAAGTTCCAAGTGAGTGTACATACGTTGAAACTTATAGAGTTTCTATATAACAACATCGTTTGTCTGGAAAATTTGGAATGCTATAGTGAATTGTTGTTATAGAAAACATATAATACAGCATAACGTGAGGAATCAGTTCCAAAGAAAACTTGGCCGTTATAGTGAAATATAATAGAGAAGTCTGACGAAAAGTTTTTTAAAAACGAAAGTTTGTTATACATTTTTGTAATTTGGACAGATGATTTGCTTGTAAACCATGGACAGATCAATCTAGCTACTAACTGTACTCATTTTTACCAGTAATTTTCACAAGTCCAAGACGAAGAAAAGAGGAACGATCAAAGCAGTGTGGCAACCGGTATCAAATCAATCTAGTTGCTAACATCCCAAAGATTATATGTAATGTTTTGCCTCATTTAGGTAAAAACGTTTAAATTTTTCTGCAATTTTTAGATGATCCATCTAAGTTCATTTACAGGTCTTCAAATTTCGCAGTTTGTAGAGTCCATTGCTTAGAAAAGATAGGCATATCATGGAAATGTGATGGATAGATTGAAGGCTAATCAGTTGAACATCCTTCTTTATCGGAAAATTATGTTGCAGTATGTAAAAAATTATATTGTGTATGTATGTTAAGTTTAGTTTTTATATATATGAAGTCTTGAACCCTCTTAACGAAATTTCTGACTCATGCATTTATCATGTTATTATTGCAACATGGGTGGCTGTTGCTTTTACTTGTTATTGAAGTGTTTTATAGCCTTTACTTTGTCCTTGGATTCTTGAATCAGCTCATTTTGTTGATCCTTAAATGTTTGATTGAGTTTTTCAGCTACATGTATGATCAGGGGCAGAGGTAGAGTACTAGTTACGAGTTCAGACGAACTTGGTAGCTTTTTCTTATTAGGAAATCTATTAAGTAGACATAAATATTACTACATCACAAACAACAATATTATCATTAATCTCAAAAACTATCAATCACATCTGCTTCAAATCTCTAACCATTAATCATAGAGGATCTGCTACATTTGTTCAATCAACTACAATACTTAATTATCTAATACAATTGCACAGAACTTCATTGATTGTCAATAGCATTACTGTCACCCGATGATCTTACGTCCATGGATCCACTTGCTGCATCGTTTTCTAAAACTATCTACATTTTGGCAAAAAAAAAAAAAAAAAGAGATCTGTAAGTTCAATGAAACATGTAGGAGGAATAAAATTCATGTAATAGGAATAAACAGAACTCATTTTATACTTGGACCAATCAATCACACATTCAAAATTAAAAAAGGAATTTATGAAAGTTTCTTTACCATTGAAGGTGTCGTAGAAACGAAGATCTCAGCAAGCTGTTCAGGTATTGTTCCTTCTTTCATTATTATATATGTCTTAAAAGCATTCATCATTTGAGCATGAACATTCATCATGACATTGTAGTTGTCCAGGTTTTGATTTTGAGTTTTCAACATTTGATTGTACTTCTCTTGGCATTGGGAAGAACACAAATTATTACTATAACTTGAAGCATTCAAATTACTGTAACGGGGTCTTGTTTGTTTAAAAGTTTTGCTTGGGACAGCTCCTAATCCCAAGCACCTTACCCGTCCAGAATGCTCTTTTCCTAGCACTTACCAACGGCATCATTTGCCGAAACTTCAGACTCATTTGTGGTGCTTTGATTCATGGCTAGCTCAATTTTTTCCTAAACACAGCACGCACCAAAAAATAGATACGATAACTTCAATTAGCGGTTGACAGGACAAAAATAAAAACAAGGGAAGAATAACTTAAGAGCCTGATAAATAATCAGATTATATCATTACAGCACCAACGATTGCTACATAAATCTAGCAAGACAAGTTGCTTCACTCTCCTGGACTTTTAAATACATACAAAATAGATGCATAAAGCTAAGACTAATAGCATTAAAACTTACGCATATCTCTTTTGCTGCCTCATTAACATATGATCCATCTTCATTCCTATGAGTAGCGAGATAAAGTTCCCCTCGTCCAGGCTTTTGTCCAGTCTTAGCCATCTATAAATAAAAAAAACCAAAGTCGTAATAACGTAACGAACCAGGAATAGTTGTTAGTAATTAAAGCAATCCAAAATGAAGTAAAAGATCTTTCACCATTTCAGCCCTTCTTCGGGAGTTGGGTTTGGAGCCACCAATGTGTGAAATGCTTTGTTTCTTCCGATTGTCAGCATTTTTTTTACACATTTCCTAAGAAAAAGATAGTTAAAAGTTGAGATATACAAACAAATAGGTATATAATTACACATACCAATTGAAGCATTTAAATAAATACCACTGTTTTCTCTTTAAAGCGGTATTCAACATAAGAAATCCATTGATCCCGTGGAATCTCAGCTGGAACTTTATCCATTATTTCAGCTCTGCTCTTAAATTGATCATACACTATATCATACAACTTTAGCCTTCTTGCGCCCCACTTCTTACACATCGAATTATAAACATATCGTCTTGCATTTGACTCGGTAGTCCTAAAACAAAATCGTGACTTCAAAAATAATTTAAAAAATGGTTAGCTTATCTGTTTTATGCAAAATATATAGTCCAATGACATAAATTTAAGGAGGGTAAGGAAAGAGTTGTCCGATATAAGCCAGCAGGCAATACTTCTTGATGGATCACCAACAGAAAAAAGAGACATAAACATTTAGCGCTTAAACGTATGCAGCAACATACCACGGGATGTCACCATGAAAGAAACCAGCTAAGAAACTGTTTACTGAACTTCAACACTATTGACTAGGAAGTTAAACAGAAGCCTTTGGGTTAGGAGTATACGAGCTTTCAACAAATTCTTAGTTCAGGAGTACCTTTTTTTCCTTTCCTTTTCTTTTCTTCCTTTTCTTTTCTTTTTGATCGGATGCAAAAAAGTGGTCTAATTCGAGAACTCCAACTTTAACTAGTGATGATATCCAAACTATATTTAGTGCACAGAATAACCTATACCTGTATAAATTGATCAAAGCAATGGTTGAAGTACGCCGCAGGTAAATCCGACCATTTTTTAAAGTGAATTGGAAATATGGAGCTATCTTTTGCTAAAATTCCACAAAAGCCTGCAAGAACGCCTTGTCCTTCACCAATAGGAGAATCTAAGTCGTCAAAATCAACCACGATACGTTCTCCATCAGACAAATTCAACATGTCTCTTTTTTTCACTTTGAATTTCTTGATAGCTCCTTGTGAATCTGAAAAGATTAAAACCCCAATTCAGAATCACAAATTAAATAACACCTCAGCAGAATATGTTGATACAATTTAAAAAACACATCTCTTCCTAGATTACTGTAACTCATGAAAACCTCAAAATTACCTATTACATCTACCGTCCAATGCTGCATAGACTCGCGTCCACTATGCATTTTAGATGGTTTCAGCTGTGCTGCAGCCTGAACTAAAGGTGTCGGTTGAAGACATGATGTCAGCTGTTGTTGACAAAGATTCTGATTAAGTTGACGACTACGAAATGGTGTATCATCAAAATGCAAAGGGTCTGATTCAGTTGCTGATGAAGATTGTGCTACACCTTGTGAAGTAGATGCCGAGTAAACTGAGTTCTGTAAATTCTCGTAACGTTTGGGCTTCGGCATATCTACAAGCAATAAAAGTGGATGAAACACAATTAGGACACGAGTTCCAGAGTGTTTCCATACCATAGTATCACACTAACTATTTCCAAACAAGAAAAAATAGAACTGCTAATTGTTTTCCATAAATCGAACAATTAAACAGTAATAGATATCATAGAAAAATTATACTAATTCAAATTCAAATAGGGTAAAGCTGAAAAAAGTAAAAGAAAATCTTGTACTCCACTGTTCCAATTTATGTGACAGCCTTTCCTTTTTAATCCGTCTCTAAAAGAATAATATCACATTTCCTTATCTGGCAACTATTTAATTCGCGTGAGATACACTCGTCCTAAATTATAGATGAACTGATGCTCCAACATGAGAAACACATTTCACCATAAAATTCTGGAATTCAACTTCATTTGGAAAACACAAAAGATCATTTTTTTTACTCCAAATTACTAGTGAAAGTTCAAAAACAATTCCAATTTGCTTTCGTGATATGATTTTTCACGTTGAAAACAAAACCAATCTTTTTTTTTCCAAATACGCACAATTTTCATGGTCAAAACTCAAAAGCCCCCTTTCATGTTAATTTCAGCAGCTAAAGGGATAGGGCTAAAGGGGAAAAAAACACAAATAAGCATAGAAAGACAAATTTTAAAAATCCACATAGAAGATGAAAATAAGCATAAATTATACTGATTAGAAAAAAGCAAAATCATATAATGAGGAAGAAGAAGACCTTAGATTAGTAGATTCATAAATTAAAAATTGAAGTAATCAAAAAATCCTGCCATTATCATACAATTTGTATGCCAAAACTTGAAGAAATCAGCAATTTTTTCTCTAAATAATATCTACGGCAAATGATCCGGACGGAGTTTGAGGAAAATTTGGGGTAGTTTTAGAAAATGGGAGAGAGTACAGTGAGGGAAACTGCCGTTAAAAATTTGGATATTTTATTTTGGTTTGAGAAAAAATTCTCAAATATTTCATGGAACTCATTTATATCATTTGTTAAAAGGGAAAGTTCATTTTATTTCGTCCGTTAAAAGTTTGGTTCATGTGCATCATTTATTTAATTTGTCATTTTATTTTTAAGTGATTTCAATAATCGATAACAAATAAATTCGATATCTTAATGGTTCTATAACAATTTTGCATGTCTACAAATCGATAACCAATAAGTCAAATCGATAAATTTTAAAATCGAACTAGTGCAAATTAAAGTTTTTTTTTAAAAAAAAAAGATTTTCTACATAGTTAAAAATGTTGTCGTTCAATACTTGTGATAGTTCAAGACGGCTAGTTTGTCCTTCACTTTTAATTGAGATGTGAATTATGTGGTAATATCAAAATTCTAATAGTTTTAGATTTGACATCAAATAC